CATTGATAAAACTTATTTATCACTTCTGATGTCATAAAATGAGATTGTTCTCGAACCCATAGTGCGTTGAAACCTCGGCTGGGCAGGTTTCAATGAATTACCACTTGTCGAAAAGCTGAATATAGAAAAACAAAAGTATATAGGTCATTTACCTGATGAGAAGGGCTAACTCGGAGAAGAAAAGAAGCAATGTTATTAAAGGAATGAGTCACTGACGCGTTGCTTTGGTAGTGCATATCGCTACCGTATTCGTATGGCACGCTATTGATTGAACTCGATGATTTGACGAAGTTGTTTCTATAGCTCTCCTGAAAATTCTTTTAACTCCAAGAAAGCACTAATGAAGCTCAGCTGCCAATTGAAAGAATCCCCACCCTGTTTGGAAGCTTTCTCAAAATTCGCAGCTACGAGGACACTCAACATAAAAATAAAGTACCCTTTTCTCAATGTTAAGCATTAAAAGGGTCTAAAAAGAGAATTTTTGGTCGATATTCCTACTATATATAAAGCCCTAAGTTTGTCTGTCTGTCCGTGTGTGTGTGTCACGAAATTCATTGCACGCGGACCAGCACTCACCGCGGGGACCAAAGGTGATAACAGCCGATAAGATTCGATAAGGGGCGCTAGAACGCAAGGGTCACGAAATTCATAGCGCGCGGGCCAGCAGCACTGAGACACTGTTTTAGATATGATATAGGGGCGGGCCGGGAACATTGGTGGGGGACCGAAGGTGATAACGGCTGATAAGATCCGATAAGAGGCGTTAATGCAAGTGTCAAAAATTCATAGTGCGCGACGCAGCAGCATTAAGGCGCTGTCCCCAAGATATGATATAGGGGGTGGGACGGGAACATGTTCTCTGGGGACAGAAAGTGATAAGGGCCGATAAGGACCGATAATTACAATATGCGTAGGAACATAGAAATCACTTATAATCCTATTGTAGATAACGCATTTCATTCCAATATCATCTCATTTCATCATCAACATAAAATACCGTTCGACCGCTACACTCCCCAAAGGTCCTTAAGAATGTATGATGGACGTTTAGCGATATACGATAATGGGTATTTCTATTGCAAAATCATTGGCATCAATATTATTCGACCGCTAAATCATCCTGATATCCAATGCATGATTGTTTACAGGCACCACTTTATGGAGCGTTCATAGTTGGCGATCGTACGTGCGATTAGGCGATTAGGCGATTAGGCGATGATTCAAAATGAAAAGTATACGTATCGATTAGGCGATTAGGCGAGTAGGCGAGTAGGCGAGTAGGCGAGTAGGCGATAAGGGAAGGATACGTATTGATTTGTTGCTCCGCCCATTGAGCGATCGCCTAATCGCCTAATCTATACGTATATTTTCCATTATAGACGAATCGCCTAATCGCCTAATCGCACGTACGATCGCCAACTATGAACGCTCCATCAGCTCCGCACTCCACCGCGCGTATCAGACGGTGAGCTTAAAAATGGGCAACCTATAGAACGGCCAGCTAAGCATACGAAGCGGCTTATTGTTTAGCGGCGAAATCTAACGCTCCACCGGCTGCTCAGCTTTACCTGTGCGGAACTAAACTGGTAAACTATTAAACAAGAACATTAATAAACTTACCGTCACGTTCGTCAGATCAACCGTGACATATTTGTCTCTGTCGCTTCGCATATGCGTATGCATGGAGCCAAGAGCATGCGTGAACTCGTGGGCCACAGTGCCAACCTATAAAGTAAGAAGTGATACTGCGGGCATTTGACCTTTCTCATTCAAGGGCCGTTCTTAGCAGCTGTATTCACCACACATATCGCTGGCCAATTTTTGGAAACCACGTACGCTCTCATTTCCACTCAAGGCCGCTGTAAGACTTTGCTAATCGGTGTTTCGCGAAGTCTGACACAGCCCTACATGCGGTTTTTATTATGAATTAATAGCCCATTGGAAATGATAGAGGTATGGATGATGGAGAGCTGAAGAGAAACCCAAGGAATTGGTCCAAAATCAGTAAAATGGAACCTATTAGGTTGTTACGAAATGAATGTTTTGAGGGCAAATAAAATTTGTTGCACCGGAGCAGTTAGGCACCTCAAAACAATTGACTTAGGCGACGTAGAATCTGACTTATTAAATCAGGATCCACCATTCCTTGCACAGAAATTCCGGTCTTCTCGTGGAATTGAATCAACCGCGCGCTGGTAAACGCGGACACGCAGGGTTGGAATTTTGGCAGTCTCGGGATCATTTCTCCTTCTCAAAGTGCTGCGTTGAGCCTGATGAGTAGTTTCTAGATGGAGTGCAACTGGTGGTATTTTGTGGAGAAGTCAAACCTTATCAGCTTGGGCTCGCATTTTTGTTGGGTGACTTTTTCGTGAAAAGCACCTTGGACGTCGCGCAGGTTACGAAATCATTGAATTTGTTTCTTGCCGGGTCAGTGCACAGATAAGATGGCTTTTGTTTGCGAAAGCCGCCGTAACCGTGTGAGCCGTATTCAGTGCCTTCAAGGTGGCATGGAGGCTTCATGTGTGCAGCCGGGATTTCGAAAGAAAATATTCAAAGCATACAAATGTTATGACTGAAAAGTGGTGGTTACTATTACAGCCTAGATGTCCTCTTCCGAATGAATGCACAATTGCAGCAACCTAATATAGTAGATTCTTCCCGCTGATTTCTACGTAAGGCTTATTGGTGCTGACGTCATCAACATCGGCCTTTCTACTGAAACGGATAGAGACCTGTGCTAGAGTCCCATGGTGTTGTGAAAGCCAGTTGGTGGGCGTGTAAAGTCACGAGCGCCGCCGCTACGGCTTTGGGTAAACCGCTAGAGGTGTCCTTGGCTGCGAAGTAATCTCGCACTCCTAGCGGACTGTTCCAGAAGGCGTGTTTCCTTCTTTGATCTCTAATCTGTCGAAGCTTTTTTGAAAGCGTATGCTAATTTTTGATTGGACAAACACACATACTGCAATAATACATAAAAAGAATATGCCAATGCCTTTGCTAACGATAAGTCAATCACTGCGACTTACGATTATGCAGCCACTCCCCAATGACAACTCTTGCTCTCTTCCAAGATAGCCAACAAAGGAATAACAGCCGGATCCGCTGATCACTTTTATACGAGCTGGTGCTGTAGCACTCTCAACGAAATTGAGGCATGTGCGCTGCTGGAGGTACTTCAGAACCGTTCGAATATATTGTCGATTGGCAACAGCTAAAAAGTATCTTCGAATTCTGCGCTCCTCATGGAAAGTAATTCTCAAAAACCTACCAATACTTGTGTCGAAAAAGAAATTGACTTTTTTGTTTGGCCAAGGGATAGCAGACACAGGGATTTGACGCTTTGAACGAGCAGGATTCCCAATTTCCCTCTCAAGCGCACTGAGCTGCTCTCTGAAAAGCAACAGAACTGGTCTTCAATCTTTTTGTTGCGACTGGACTGAAATTTGCAGATGTTTCGATGTGTCGGTCGAATTATGATAAAAAGTCACAAGGCTCTTTTACTGCCCCTAGTCGCGCCACAGATAAGCAAGAGCTCTGAGCTCGAGGACTAAATGTTCATTCTGTTGCGCGTGAGTCACTATGACCTTTTTCTTCGGATTTGGATAAAACGTTATAAGGAAACAGTTTCAGTTGACATATTCATGATTTTCTTTGCATTTCAAAGTCTCACGTTGTATGCAAGCCTTCAAAGTGTAACTGTAAGTTTTCAGTAACCTGGGGTGCTATACCCTAGGTTACTGGGGGTGTCACTGTAAGCTACCTCGTTAGGGCATTTCGTGATACTGCAGTTGTAGCGATGCATACTTAAAGGAATCTTGCGCGGAAAATTCTTGCACTCTTTCCTAACATGAATATGTCAGTTGTGATCACTGGAAATAGCACACAAAGTTTCACGCATGAAGATTCGGTTTCTGAAGAGAAACAAACGTACAAAAACTACACGTTATGGACCATCGAAGGACCAGGAGGCAGAGCCAGGCGAGGCATGGAAAGAAGACGGCGTTTGGCCGGCTACGTACCAGGCGACGCAATGAGAGAATCGGGTTAAAGCGCGCGATTTCGGAGAGTGGAGACAAATCGATCGATGGAATAGGATGGAGTAGAAGTGTAAGATGTGAATGCAACGAAGCAGAAGGCCAGAAAGAGAAATTCGAACGCGTAGCAGCCTTTTCGAGTTTTCGAATTTCTAATCAAAACGAAAGCAATACTTCAGTTCTTTTCACTATTATCGTGGATAATGAGTCTCAAGCCAGTGATTTATGGCTGAAATAGAATCATGATTTTTCCGCGCAAGATTCCTTTAAGCTAGTTAGCGGTTCATGTCTGCTTTTTCACGGACAAATTTCAGAAAATGGCTCACTCTCGCTTATTGTATTTCACGTTACTCCGTAAGATCATGTCTCATCGAAACACAGTATCGTCGATTCCCATCAGTGCGATTCAGCTTCTTCCGATTGGCGCTACACCACCAAATGCCGTGCTGATTTCTCCGACCGTTACCTTCAATTCGAGAACTTCCTATTATGTTCAGACTCCACGAAAAGTCTCACCTGAGCTGTTGCTGTTCCGTCCACTGTAGAAGTGCTGTTCACTTCAGCAGAGTTGAGTCCCATTTTTAGGCCCAGGTTTCTCAGTCGTTCATGGCGCTTTCCAAGATCAATGCCTTTATGTGTCCTCAAAGGCTTTTATCCAGTTTTTATGATGCAAGCATCCAACAAGAGTCATATCTTTGTATTTTTAGGATGTCTACTTTTGTGCGCTTTGCGAAAAAGAGAGGAAAATCAGCCCACAGGATCTTTTGTAAGCGCGCTCTTGAATCACAATAGGTATGCCAATTGGTCTGAACTTGGAGGCAGAGATGCTTTTCTGACAATGAAGAGCAAGGGAAACGGAGTCATTGGAAAACCTAAAATATTAGATAAGTGGAAATTATCCGTCCTGACCATTGAAGTTAGTGTAAATTGATAATTTCTTGGAAAGGATCATGACGTAACTTCGGAGGAGTGGAGGCCACGATTTGCGTACATATTGGTAGAAGGTCATATGCGAGCTATACCAGAAGAGCAAAATGGCTGGGCTCCATCATACATGAGTTGGAGTGAGTTGCTCTATGCATCTGCGCGTCGAAGTTAAGGAAGACACGGTATACAGTAAGCGCGCTTGACGTAATTTTATGCTGATTGAAGGCAAGAATCAGGATTGAATTGATGGGGTGATTCCACTCAAATGTGAAAGTAGGGGTGGGAGGTGGACCGCCAGTGGAGAAAAAAGGAAAGAAAATCCTGAAATACACAGGAAATACGAGCATTTTGCTCCATGCTGTGGAGAAGTTCAAAAGACAGGCAGGGAAGATGAGAGATAATGTGAGCGCGGAGAGTGGTAGAGAAGATTCGCGGAGCAAGGAGGGCAGCATAGCTGCCATCAACCGTGCGACGCAGACAATCGATTCTGGCAAGCGGTTGGCGACATTATGAAGTCTTGGGTGGAGTTGTTATAAGTCCCCGCATGGCGCCTAAACGGTCTGACGCGGCACGTCCGTTGCTTCAAATAGATTGGACCATTTGCACTAGGTGTATAGCTCACAGCACAGCGCTCGCGACCCCCGTATGCTGTTTACTGACCCTTTTACACGCTCGCTAACAGGCCTTCCCACTGTTCCCGCCACCCCGTACCTACATTCGCTACAGTACCGGTCTTCCGTTAATAAACAGTTTGCTATCTTTACTACTAGCATGAGACGCTTTCACTCCCGCCTTGCTCAGCGAAGGTTTGCTGCCTTTGAGTAATCTCGAAAAATTCAAATTATTGACTATAATTAGTGCTATGGCTTGAGGGCAGAGCTAGGAGGTGTCGCTGGTGGAAGTGGATTGAAATGCGACCACACAATCCTCGAAGGTGCATGTGTATTGAGCGACGTGCTCGAATTCCATGAATTGACTATTTCGGAGTTAGCTACCATATATGGAGGGCAGACATACATCTAGATGAATTACGTCAAGAGCATAGACTTCTTATTCGGAAGCAAAGCAGAAGAAAGTAACTCCTAAGAATGTGGTCCAGGCGAACGTAAGGTTTGCTTCTAACGATTCTTTATCTGAAGAAGTACTAGACAGGGTGCAGTTGTAGGAAGGTCTTATCTATACAGCTTTAACTCTACAAAATGCGCTACTTTTTTGGATCTTTCTTCTTCTTTTTCAATACTGTTAGCATTAATCGATTTTTTGAGAGGGCATCTTGACAGAGGGAAAACTTTTCAGTACGTGGAAGAGTTTTCAAAAGGTTTTGCTGCGTGCTGAACTAGCAGGACCACAGCGAACCCGAGCGCCACACAAAACCGAGAATAATTTTATGAGCGGCTCTGGGAATGCTAAAAAACATGTCAAAACTATGGCTTGTGGTTCGTTTCCCATTGATGACAAATTTTTGCATTTCTCTGATTTCCATTTCCTTGGGCTCATACACAATATATCTAAACATATTCAGGTGTGGTATGTGAACAGAAGTTTCAAAATGCAATATTCAACGCCACAAATGCCGTAGAATTTAATAAAAATGGAAAAGTTCACTTCTACGAAAATTTTCTGCCTTTTTTCTGGCAACTGCAGGGCCGCTCGGAAAAAATGATCATCATATCTATGCTCCACGCCACATGCACCTATAACATCCAACAAGCCACTTGAAAAAAGCACCACAATCTTCTGAAGGTGTTTCCTGGTAAGCTTATACAGACTATTATTGTATATTGAAGAGTTTGCCTACCTTTGCCAGTTCCATTCTGCCTTTCTCAGAAAGGCAAAGGCTGGTGTCAAAAAGCACAGCGAGAAGGACCAAAGCTTTAATCATCTCAAACACGACTTTAGCACCAGATCTGGACCTGCAACAATTACCTATCAGTGAAGAGCACATGAAGGACTTTAACAAATCTCGACTAGAACATCAAAAAATTGAATTTAATAGAGAATTTGTTAAGCGGAATCAGGATGGAGCACTACACTGGTCCCACGTAAAAAGCTGGCCTTATATAGCGGCAATCTGGCTTAAGCGAGTTCATTCCAGCAACTGTACTCTCTCCTTCTGCCACGAACTCTAACAGGCGTTCCAACCCGGAATTGTTGAGCTGTTCCGAAGTGTTGAGCTCCATGAAACGCTAGCCGATTAGTTGATTTTTGCTCCTGATATTTCGTTAGGATTACACACGCCCTTCGATAGTCGCACATGGATTCATCACATTGACGGTAAACTCAGCTGAGAATCGCTCTGTCTCACAGTAACTAATCAAACAAACATGTTAAGAGTCATTCCAAGCGTCACCACTATCGATAACCTTTGAGCCTGAAGAGAGGCCATGTATTTTTGTCCCTTATTCAGACCCTTATTCAAGCAGTTTATTATGTTTCGGCACTTCTAGGAAATTTCCGTTCAGTAAGAATCAGTTCAAGGCTTGACACTCAGATGAGCCTTGCTACATAACTCTGCCTCGGTGAATTGATCTTTTAGTGGGCAAATCAGCAAGTTGTAAGCCTTCCACTGTTCTCCTGCACGGTTAATCCACCAAGCTCTCGCATTCGACCTGAAGCAGCTCTTTTAGGATAATCCTGCAGTAGTCTTTCTGATAACGATGGGCTGCAAAATCACGTTGACAAAGCCACGTTGTCAATGTGTTGTTGCTTTTTCAACAAATTTTGAAGCGCACCAGAAGTAACATGCACAGGCATCGAAATCATAAGCACAATCTTAGAATCAAGTTCCGCATGCCAGCCAGGCTAACGAGGCTCTCCATCAGTTATCAGACTATTGAAATAGACTTGCCGAGGAGCAAGAACTTACAGCTCTAGACAGGGAAGTCATTTTATAACTTTTCTATTTGCACTGAAGAAAGTGCGAATTCTGATCACACTTCAGCCTTCCCTTTTTCGGTCCCTAATTCAAGCAGTTGGTTATTTTTCAACAGTTCTAGGACATGTTTGTTCAGTAAGAATTATGAAAAGCTTTGTTCGGGCTGGGCTGGCCTGCCACACAGAATGACTATTTGTTCTGATACGGTTTGAAAAGAATCTCCCGTGCAATGCATGAAGAGTGACAGAGCCACTTCAGCGTATCAGAATTCCACAGCTGTTCCTCGATATCCCCTCGAAATGAGTGAAATTATTGCAAGCGCTATTTCACGATGTGAGTGATTACTAGCGCTGGAGAGAGGAAATTTTGTACGAAGATTTTCATTACGGCCTGTATCTTGCTTGATGCGACAAA